TTGGAATCTAATTTCTTCATTTGATGTAAATACAATAATGCCTCACTGAATTAAAATTGATATAAAATTGATTGCCTAAATTTCTCAAATAAAGCTTGGTTAGCAATGAAACTTAAAACCATAGAAGTACTTCGATGTTAAAACTTACCAAATGCATGATTAAGAAAAACAATCTCGGCAATTGCCATTCATTATAACTTGTTGAGGAGAATGGTAGTGGCATTTTTTTGCAGGATTTTAAAATTCATCTTCCCGAACAGTGGAATTTCGATAAAGAAAAAAAACAAGAATGAAATCGGGAAGAATAGCATACCAAATGTACAAGGTATCAGTCTCTTTTACTTGCTTGACTACACCTAAACTTTAAATTACACATCCCATTGCATTCCAATCTTACTTATGATAACTGAATATTTCAGGTATTCCATCAAGACAATGGTTGGCCATTTCCAAGATATTACGGTGCTTGTGGACGTATGGTTGTGGAACAGTATGTCGGGAAATCATTAGGAGATTACTATCTTTCACCTTGGAGGACCAGGGTAATATTTCAGTTTTTCATTTCTCGTTTATTGTGAAAAAAAAAAAACATGGAGAAAGATAGCAATAACTTTAAATAAATATAAGCATAGGTGACTGCAATAAAAATAAAAATAAAAAAAAATTGTTATAATGATACAATATGGAAGAGCAATTGTTAAATAAAATAGCCTGCTAATTAAGCAGGAGGCCCCACCTTCTTTTTGCTTTTATGGATTTTGAAAGACTACTTAGTACTTGTATATTTATTGAAAAAAACAGTCTAATTAAAAAAATTAATTTGAAAGAAGTCCATACAGACAGGAAGTTCATTGCCCAGAACAGTGGTGTGAGAAAGTATATATAAAACATTTTAAATTAAAATTTAACCTTGCCTTGTCTACTCTCCAGATGTGAAGAAATTTGTTATTCCAGTAAGCTATTTGTTTGGCAAAATTCAATTTTTCTTGATTTTTTAAAAATTTTATTTCTTTAAGCCACTTGTAATCTGTGAACATTGTAGCTAGCTAGAGCTAAAAATTTTGCCCTTTTTGTGTTGTACTTGACCATGGAATAAATAATACATATATATGACCTCATCCACCAGGTTGGACTTGCTTACCAGCTATTCCAAATAGCAGACCTGCTGACCAACAACAAGGGGAACTGGTCACTCTACTGGACAGATGTCAGCTATGATAATATTGCAGTTGACCCTGATGGCAGGGTAGTGGTGGTAGATCTGGAGAATATCATAGTGGTGGACAAACTGAAAATTATACAAGGTATTGTGCTTGATAATGGTTCTAATACTTTCTGACCCTAGGTCTGTTCTTAAGTCTGTAGGTTAAATGAAATTCATAAAAAAATCACTCTTTGCATGGTAAAATCAGGCAGTTTGGTAAATGAGGATATATGTTCATTTTTAAATTAAAATTTATACTATGTCTGGGCTTGCAAAGTTATAACAAAGATCAGGGGTGAGATTTTTCTGACCATCGACGGATTTCCCACTTTTTGGGAGCCCAAAATATCGTTTGCCTTTGCGGTCCCCTAGACCCCATTTTTCCTGATTTTTTCACTACATGGCAGTCTCATCCCTGAAAGATGACATTGCATGATTCAATGAAGTCGACTCCAGGAAACTAAGATATACACTCACTGGCCATGTTAGTGTATTCAAACAGATGTTGCACCATGTGATTTTATGTGAATATTGCATACAAAATATTAAACCAATTTGAAATTATAGTTGGAGTCCATTTCATTTAGGAAATTCATTTTTCACATTAAACATTAATTCAAGTTAAGAAGACTGATTCTGTGAAATTAAAAATTGACTTTTCAGTTATGATTTTGTCTGAAAGAAATTCACTCTCACACTGTCACTTTTCATTTTCCTCAAGATTTTCACAGAAATAAGTTCCGTTTTTCGTTTCTCCTTCCAGATCGACCACCAGAGTGGGACACAGTGCTAACAAGCACCTTTGATGAATGCATTCCAAATCACAACTGTCTTTCCTTCTCACCAGACAACCTTTGCACGCGTCTGGTGGCAGACCACAATTACTATGCAGTGTGTCGTGGCATTTTATCCAGCTACGCCGATGACGAAGGCCACCCTGGGGGGCTTCTTCACAGCATGCCAGATATCATTAAAACCACTTGGGGACTGGACAAATTATTAGATGAATGCGCAAAACCATCCTCTGAACAAACTAGCAGGTTAAAGATTAAAGATCAGCTCCTCACAGTGCTTGCTGAATTAGCTGGAGTAAATGGTTGAGAATTTGTGTATGGTTAAAATGGTTTACAATATTATTTATGTAGAGAATATTCATATACCAGGAAAAGCGAGTGAACCTTTTTTGCTGCAATGGTTTGACTAAGCAATATGTATATTTGAATAATTTATAAAAATGCTTTTTATTGAATATTGTTGTCAGATTTGGAATGTACACTGAGAAACCATGTAAAATGTGATATAGAGTAAATCGTTTTAGATTTATGGGATGGACGTCCACGTCCAGGTGACACGAATAGTCATTCAGTTTGACTAATCCAATCTCTAATATGTTAATTTTGGGTACACTGTAATACTTAAAATAACATCAATATGATGTAATATGATGAATAAGGGACTTAAATAAATGTTGGGTAAAAAATTACGGTAAATGTTAGCCTGCTAATAGAAAATATAACAGACCCTTGACCTTCAAATACTCACTTTTATTCCAACATGACCAAAGCATCCAGTTGATTAAGAAGAGAATACTTTTAAGTCTAATCAGTGAGAGATGTAAGCACATTGCCAATTCCCATGGTAGAATACATGTATAGGACACATGAAACTAAAATGGTAAATATCTATATTGACGCAGGGCTTTGGTTACAATAATGACAAATAATTTAATAGCTAATACAAATATTTTGTTTGTGGTTTTAGCCCTGCAGTTTAATTTAAAACCATCATTTTGCATATCTTCTAAGCAAACTATACTACGTTACAATTTGGTTGAGGTTGTGAGGAAGATGACCTTCAATGACATAATTATTTACTTGAAAATGCAAGCTTTTGGGCAAATTAAAAATGCTTCATGATACCATTAACATCCACTACATTATAATATCATCAGCTACATAATGTGAAACAATTATATTGCAATAAACAGTGCTGTCACATTATTTGAATCCTTAAAAATATAATTTCCTTGCAAGAAATAGATTAATATACTGTTCTGTCTCTGGAAGTAAGAAAATTAGTAAAAAAAAATGTCATTTACAAAATTATTTCCCATAAAATCATTTCAATAAAATTTCATTTCTTACTTAACCTTATCTAATATGGAAGTATCACCAGATTTTAATGTCAAACTGTTTTCCTTTGTTGAATACCAATAGATATTAATTACAGGAAGGAATGCACAGCCCAAAACTGAACAGCTGCTACTTGATGGACTAAGTTTCTGGAAACAAAAATCAATGACAAAACTGCATTAAACTTTTAAATAAGCAACTGTAAAAACATTAAATGGTTATAAATTTTTCGTAACGACTATCACAATTATCTGGTTTCACATATAACATACTATATTGGCTAAAACACTAATTACTAAAATACTGTACTAACACTTATTATAACTTGATATTGTAGCAGTTACAGGTCATTTGTACATTTATTACAATTATCTATTTCCTGGGCACATACAGGTAATATGAACATTTAATACAAGTTTAACTTTCTGCAAGTCCATGTGACATCAAACACATCTAGTCATAGTAAAATAGCATTTGGCCAAACTTCAACAATGATTTCAGTTCAATGAAATGTGTTAAATTACATTCTTGAATTGTCCCTCCAATAGTCTTAAAATATATACATATATATCATACACAATTTTTTTTTCAGTCTTCACATCTTTTGTTTAAATTAAGAACCAAGTTGAACCATTAATTGAATTCTCATTTTTAAACAAGTTAACTTGAAAACCTATTATGCAAATCTGACAGCTGGTATGTTTCAAGGGTAATGGAAACTGCCAAATAAATTTTACTTTTCTTTCATGACTTCACGTTTTTTTCACATTTTTAAAATAAATGTAATAAAAGCTTTGAGGTAAATAGCTTCTACTGAAAGCTAATTATGAGAAAAAAATAAAGAGACACACTGACTCTTTCCTTCACTGTATCAGCACCAGTTAAAACTATTCAAATAAACAATAAATTATATATCTAGTATACTGCATGAATCAATTAAACAAGGTCTCTAACCTTGCCCTTTTTTGTGCTGAAGTATGCTGGGCCTATGTTTAAACTTAATATAAGCTTTAAACATATCAGTTTTCCCATTCAGTATTTCTGTTTAAATTAATGAAGTACCTGTCCATTTCTACTTGAGTAGTAAACTTGCTGGGAGGACTATTAAACAAATAAGCTTGGCAATTTTTGGGGGTGGGTTCATCTGTCTGTGTCTGTCTGCCTTACAAATGAGTTTCAGCAACATTTTCAAGTGAGTTACATATACCAGTTCACACATATAACATTATTCTTGATTGGCCACCTCCCAGACAATCACATGACTTTTGTCTCCTTTACTAAGAGTATTCTGTTTCTTTTCCTCTGCGGCTGGACCGGGTAACAATGCTGACTCGTCATCCCCATCACCTGAAATAAATCATATATATTGTTGTTTGTATCATGAATAAACACAAGTGCCTGTATTCCAACTACACAAAGAAATAACACAACCAAAAAGTTTTATCAAGAAACTGGTACATGTCATTTAAAAAAGCATACCTTATAAACAAGTCTGTGAAATACAGTAAAATCCTTAAAAAGTTTTTGCTTACTTTGGTATATATTTTTTACATATTTCACTACATATCATATTCAGTACTCTGTATGTAAAGAGTATTCTTTTTATGTGTGATATATCATTTGTTTTTTCTGTGCAGTATACATATGAGACTCTATATTCACCTATTCTAAAATCAATGTACCCTTCTCCACCAGAAAGTATAAGCATGGCTTTGGACTTGGTTTGGCTGCTGCCACCAGATGTCACTCCCTGTCTCCCGGCCCCTTTTGGTAGAAAATGAAATGAATAGTGACCAAAGTAATGAGTTAAGCAAGGTCTTGTTTTTCTCTTTTCTTTTTGAACACATTTCTTAAAGAACTATATATGCATATAAAACATATTGCAATCAATGCCTTGATCAAAGAAGAGGAAAATGTCTTTGAAAAATTACATATATTTTCTAATGAACACAGTGGTCACGTAATTTCAAGATTTTTTTTTTTGTCATGATGAACATTTCTTTGACTACTTATGAATACAACTGAGCAAATGTTGTAAGCCAATGTTATCAACAAATGACCACTTTCACTGACAAATATTTTGATTTATGAAACTTTGCCAATAAAAGATGGCACATATAGTAACAGTGCAAAAAACCCCAAAGGTATAATCTTTTTATATGCATTATTTAATATCACAATATGTACATGTGGAAGTGCATGTGCAGGTGAGCATGTGTATCAAGACCATCATACCTGGTACAGCAACAAAGAACTTGACGGCATCCCTGTGACCGTGAAAAGAGAGTTGAGCTTGCGCCATAGAACAGAAAGGTATAAAGCTTCCTGGGGTTACACTGTCCGTCTTGGTGTCTGAGTACACTCTGATCACACCCCCTGGTCTTCCACTGCCACCCCCCGAGGTCATCTGTTTGCTCCCTACAAATAAACGTGTGTAAAACACCACAAATTTAAATGAGTAATAATGTTCAAAAGTTTGATATTTGAATACAAATCATGATAACTATTCGGCATAAGCTGGAAAAATTTTCCTCTCTGAATGTTAGCTCAGACCTTACGCCTCAGACTGACGAGAGTAGATGTTGTTGCTCACTGACCACAAACTAATTTTTTTCATTAAAATCACACACATATGGCTTTCTAACTTGGTAAATGTTCATACAGATTTAAAGGAAATGTAAGAATATGTTACATCAATACCCATTTAATGCTATCACAACTTGTAGTCTAAATGGCATTTCCAATGTCCCATGATATTTACAAAAAGATAAAACCCTGCATCACTTTAAAGTCACACTGCTGCATTTTCCTTTCATGTATTTTCAAATTCTGCTAAGAGAGAATCTTTACATATTAGAGCTTAAATTAACTTAATTTTCTCCTCAGAAGTAGACCTACTATCATTTTCTAAAAATGTGTTCAAAATTACTGAGGAATTAAAGACGTTACCTTCTGAGAGTGGCACAGATATGACCACTCCATTGCCTGTACCTATCCATAGTCTCTTACATGACACCAACAGGGAGGTTATACGTACAAAGGAGAAACCAAGCTTCCCAGTACCTGAGAATAATATACATTGTTATACTAATCATTGGAAGCACACTTGTATCTCCAGGTTTGTACATAAATACTTTTTACAGAATTTTTTTATACTTAAAGAATTCTTTTCTTCAAAATATATCTAAAAGATTTTATTAAATAATACATATAATATAATCTATTATAGATCCTAGCCAGTTATACAGCAATTACAACTGTTACATATCAAAGAGCAAAATTTGTCAACAGTTTTTAAAAAACTAAACTAAGTTTTGTTTAAAGACAAAAACATACAACATCTTATAAGAACTGATTGCAGTAAACATTTATGTGCCAAAGAAAAATGTATACGTTCAGGCGGCACATAAATAAATGAGAGTAAAATGCACGCACACACTCACAGCACATTATTAACCTACCCAGCATTTTACTGACATAAGGTTCTATGTCTACATCTTGCAGGTGTTCATGAGTATAGGCGTGGTAGAGCCTTAGTGTGCTGTCCAGGCGTATGGACACCCAGACTCCATCTCCAACCCAGGCCAGCTGGCGAACCTGGCTCTCCTTTCTTGGGTGGGCATCAAAGGATTTCTAGGAATATAAGTAACATCAGAATATAGGCATGTGTATATCTTTTGAAACTATTGTTTTATATATCATTTAGCCAGGATTTCAGATCTGATTGAATGCAGTTTCTCCATTTTCAAATGTCCACATATCTGCACTACATTAGAAGTGTCTCACTAATATTAATAAGCAGATTTGAAAATGTAGAGACTGGCATACATTATAACCGAAGCTCAGGGCACTAGTATCAAAAATATCCACTAACTGTACATTTTTCCTCAGCTTATAATATCATTTACTGTCATTGCATAAAATTATAGTATTCTACTCAATTTTGTCTGATCTATCACATGTAGATTTTTCATTTAAATATAACACTTACATGAATTTTCAGAGATTTTGGGTCCACCACATGTATTCTGTTCTTGTAGCCACACCAAACATGCTTATTTCCTATGACAGCCATACATCTGATAGAGTGATGAGGGCGGCCCAGGTCCAGCAAATGGTAATTCCTCAGGTCCCACTGACCATCTGAAACACCAGGAAAATGACAATGATGGAAAAAAGTTTATAAAATAGACCTTGCATTTTATTAAAGAAAGATTTTTGGTCGTACTTAACAATTTCAAATTTTATGTGAAACCTCCTTTTGTTTCCAACTTAGCTTTTTCTAAATTTGATCAATGCCAGGACCAGGCATGTTAATCTGTAAACGTAATTGCAATCAGCAAGTCCACATGGAGTTAATGCCCATTAGTTAGGTCTACAAAATTCATTGAGAACTCTCCCTTAATCAATGTGTACTAACCTGAATCTCTGTGAAAGATTGCAACAGTGCCATCAGCCAGAGCTACCAGTACACGCCCCTTAACATGGCTGCAATAACGAAAAACATGGGAAACCATCAGCTACAGATATTCAAGGTGATGAGCCATACACAATTCCATGTATTAATATGCCCAAAGCTTGCTGTATCAGGAGAAATATATATTTTTACACAAATTTTCCTCATGTAGAATGTATCATTTGTATGCCATAATTTATTACAGTTTAGATCAGAGGGAATCAAATTTTAGGCTGTGTAAAGTTATGGAAGATTGCTCTTGCACGGGTTTGTGATATTTTTGGCTCTTTGTCAAAGTGTGATGTTAGTGCACACAGCCTTCAATATGACACCAAAAACAATAAGATTATGTTTTTTTAGTAACAGCACAATTAAGTTTCTTTAGAGTGATAGCACTTTTAAGTGTTAAAACACTGGTCAGTATTCTGGGTACCAATACATCAGCAAATCATATTGAAAGACAACTTACACAATGCTTAGTATGGAGTCTTTCAACTTGACAGAGTGTAGGCAGCGTTTCCACTGTGACACGGCAGAGTGTACAAATAGACTCCCACTCTGAGAGCCCAGCCACATGGTGGGAAGAACACTGCTCATTTTCTCCACTTCACTGGCCACCATGTTGTTGTCTGCCTGCGGAACAGAGATGCCATCTTTCACCAGTTCGTTTGGCTCTCGGATGAAGCGCTTCTCACTCCCACTGCCTGAAATGACAAATTGTCTGTGAGTTCAAATTCAGTCACACAAAATTTAAATACATTACACAGAAACATCAACTGCAAGCAAATATCTATCAACATCAAACTTCCAACAACACAGATCTCATTTAACTCACATAACAGCTATTTGGTTCTGTAACATGTTTTTCATTAATTGAAAATCCAATTATTATGTCCCAATAAGAATGATAATAATATGGCCATTAAATGGAGCAGTAAAAGCTTGGTTAGTCATTAAAATGTGCAGATTTATAAGAAAGACATTCTGCTGTTGTCTTTACCAATGGAACTTGTGGGTGTTTCTCCCCCAGATGATGCTGGGGATCCTGTGGCTTTCAATACTGTGGCTTTCACTGGGGATGCTGAGGCTCCAAGTGGATCTGCTCAGACATGGCAATGTTTTTAAATATAATTCTACATTTTAGAAAATTACCAAACCATATTTTTCAATACAGTTATTTGATCGTAATAACTAAAAAATATAATTTGAAAGTTTACAATGCAATTCATGTCAGAAAGTGTGGCTTTATGAGTAATAAAAAAAGAAAAAAAACAGATGATAGTGAGATAATTTTAATTTTGTGGCTAATTACTTACAGTAATAATAGCCCAAAAATCCCAAAATCTAAGTTTTCAAACTGGAGAGTCAAGTGTTCAATATAAAATGCATTTTTCACATGAATTAATATTTTTTCCCCTCACATTAGATAAAATAAGTTTAGAAACCTACATACCTTTGCTAGAAGAATCATCAAGACGATTGGCATCTGAAATCATAAAATTTGCAATGTAAAATACAGCTAACATTGAAAATATGTTAAACAATTTACATTTTTGAATTAAAATTAAAGACAAAATATTTGTAAATACAATTAACATTACATGGGTTATTTCCAAATTGCTGCATTTCAAAATACAAAATATATTTTAGTGCTATTAGTTACTTTACTTTAAAACATTCCTACATTAGTATTCAAATAATATCGGGCCTCATCCATTTCAATGGATTTGCAAAATTGCAATCAACACAAAAATAAAGTTGGAACACATTTTATACAAAAGAATCCTGATGGTATCACTACGATCAAAATGTTTTAAGGACATTTCTGAAAACACAAACCATAAACTATTAATACCACATACCACAACAGTTTAAATATTTAAAGCAATAACAATTACCCTTTTCCTCATCAGTTTCACTTTCCCGTAACCTCTCCGCTGCCTGTTTGATTGTGTCTACATATTAGTAAGAAGGAAATAAAATCAAAAACAATAATATTAGTGAAGTTAAAGTGAAATGATAGATTAAGTTAACTGAAATTTAGGTCTTTAGGTTCCAGTCTTGATAGGAATATAAGGTATGTGTCTGTCACCACTGTTATGCTTTCCCAAAATTCTGGCAAACAACATGCTAAATATGAGTAGGATGGGCATTTTTAAAAAGTACATAGAAAGACAAATCAAACTGTGAAAACAAAGCATCATATTGAACTTCAGAATGTAACCAAAGGAAGAACACAATCCTAAGCACCTTGACCTTATTAAATTAAGTCACTAGATCTAGCTTATATGTGCTGGTCAAACAAACATCTAAATCTTCCACCAAAATATTAGATCAACCAAAGACAAATCTAGGTTAAAGTGCCATGAATTTTGGTGACTGGTGGTAGTGATGGTGGGTGGTGGTGTGTGTGTGTGGGGGGGGGGGGTGCATGAAAATTAGGGCCTGCAATATAGAGGTCTGGATTATATGCAACCTGGGAGCATAGGCATTTCAGAATTTATTGTTAAGACTGAGTTTATAGGACCAAAACATCTGTACTGATTTTATGCATGTGAGGGAGGGGGCAATGGGGCAATGAAGTTAGAATTATCATATATATTATATATAATTATGAAAGCACACAACTGAGCACTCTAAGATATGAATAAAAAACCATGTTGAGTACCTGAGTCCTGGAAAGCTGATCCATTATAGGAGCCCACAGGTGAAATAGTGGAGCCAGTGACACACTGGACAAAACTGATGCCACCAATGCCACTGGACTCAACTTGACCATTGCTGGACACTCCACTTTTCACGGACTCGTTGTCCGAGGGAGGTGCCAGGGCAGCCTCCTGGTCAACTTGTAGAAGCTCATCGTCCACTGGGTAGTCACTTTCTCTAGCACCTGAATTATAAAAAGGTTTGACTGGATATATTTCATTTCAATACATTTTCTATAAACTTTCTAGTTCAATTTAATTAAGGTATCAAAATTTATCGTGACTAATAACACGTTAAGATAACAAAGCAAAAATAAGGCCTGGTTTTACAAACTTTATAAGGGAATTTACATAAAAGCTGACCTAAACTTTATATTAAACTGATCCAAGATAATCAGTTGAGGTCTGCTTTAAAGGGTATTTTGGGTTTGTTTTACAAAAAGTAAGGAAGATCTATTATTTAGACCAATATTCATTTCTAAATTATCTCAGAGGACAACTGCAAGTTTATACTGGACTGAAATTGATCAAAATTTACAGTCTTGGAGTTGACAACCAACTTCTGATTCAGCTTTTGCAACCGAGTCTAGGTCTGTTTTCTATTCTTCATGAGAATTAACTCGGTATCTGTCCAGGGCCCCGTATCTTGAAAGCATTGCACATTACGACCGTGCACAAGCGTCTAGATTCCATAACTTGCCCATACTCACCCCATATAATACATTGTAGCCTCTATGTGATAGCGCTATTCGCAGTACACGATGCTTTCGAGATACGGGGGCCTGATCTAACTAACCTGGCACACTAGATATACACAGCAATGGGGAGTGGGTGCTAGGGAAGGTCTCCAGGATATCCCCTGGGTTATTAGCATCTATGACACTGACCACACTACTGGAGTGAGTACTGGTACATATCCACACCAGGCTGGACATGTTCTGATCCACGGGGTTGACACCTTTCTCATGCTCCTGGAAGGTCAAGGAGTGTACACTTATATAGATGGCGCCAGCAGTAGACTGACAGGAGACTTTGGTTGTTATAAAATGTTGTACAAAAAAAGTCATGAATTTCAAGAATTTTAATCTTTGAGTTTCTAATTTGTTTTTAAAACATATGGTAAAATGACTGTTAGTGTGAAAAGAAATTTACTTCTCAGCTATATGTCATTATATCAAGTTATAATGGTACTGATTGAGCATTATTAATGACACAGTTTTCACTATACGTTTCCCTAGATTATCAATATGAAAAATATAGCTATATCAAATGAAAATGTCAGCATAAGAAACATGCAACATGAGTAATTAAAATTTAATAAATAATAAGACAAAAAAGCAAGACAACACAAACAACAGACGTGAAAACAAAACAAAAACAAACAAAACTGACATGCAGTCAAGTCAAAACAAGGTTAAAAGCAAACATTATGGTCTATGGGGAGAAGATAAGACCAAATGAGGACAAGAGAAGGACCAGAAAATTCACTGAATAGAAGGGAAATAAAAGAACAACTAAAAGGCAAAAACATCACATTACCTTTTTTTTTTCAAAAAACAAAAGAATACTGAAATTCTGTCTCTATTTGCATCATATTTTTCACATCACAAACTGAGTAATCACACTACAGAAAGAACTATACAGAGAATAAAAATGAAGGGTAAAAAGGGAAAAATAGCATAGTCCCAAAGGCAATTGCATTCATGTGGTGGTTTTATATGCTATAATCTGATATGAAAATTCGATTTTCATTGACAAAGTCATGTGTACGACAGATAATTCCAGGCATATGATAAAAAAACCTGTCAGTTCTCTTTGGGCATTCTAAAAGCTGACAGATATTTATCAATTTGATTTACAAATCAAAAATGGAATTTGATTTCAATGGGTACAATTATTACAACCAGCGAAAACAAGCGTCATTTACATGAAAGGCTCTGGTGCAATTTGCAAAGCAAAACCCCAAATACCAAATAATTTCTTGAAGCAACAGAACAAGCCCAAATCACCTCTCGTAAATCTATGAAAAACATTTGGTCCATTCATCATTAAGGAATGCAGGCCTTTTTTAAATTTTCACAAAGCAACAGCTTTTTTCACCACCACCTTTTATCATATGATTGCAGTATGCAAAGCAACAAAGCTATGATTCGCATATAAATTTACTCACAATGCTAATGCAGTACTAGAGACAGAATCTCAAGTCAAAAGTTGGGTGATCAGAAGTTCTTACTAGTCTTCATTGACACATTTTTTCATATGCTTAATCAAACAGTTTATAAAGTTTTTTTAACAGACTGTTTCCAGGTTTGTTTTAGAAAGAATTGCAGCATTAATTAAGTATGAAGAGTTAAGATGAAAAGAAACGGTGTTAAAAATAGTAAATGTTAAGTTTTTTGTGCATTCAGGAAAGGAAACTTGTGCATTATCTCTCTTAAAAAAAGGAATATTATAAGCTGACTCATATCAGATGTTGGCTAAGTAAAGACTGATAAGCCATATCCATTTTGGTGTGATTCACAACGAATACTTATGTGTACTCGATTTGTTGTGTATCTTTCCAAAGCAGTCTAACTTTGATATGCCAAAATACGAAATTTTGTTTTTATGAGATCAAATCACTCAATCTCAAAATCTACTGCACAGACTATGGTCATTATATCAATAAAGTATCAACACTGCAGCAATACAGTTAGCAATACTCTTCTGACATAATACACTTCTGATCACCCAGGGGGGTCATAGGCACATCACACAGTTAAGCTGTGCTTTCCAGATTTTTAACCTGAAGTTCCTGGTCCAACTTATCAACCTCATTCAATACAGTCTTAGTCTTTTCCTCCTCTGGGGGTGGGTTGGAGTAGAAGACACTTGCCCCGACTATCGAGCCGCCATCTCTTGTGCGACCTCCAGTGATGTTCACCCCTGCAGCACACCAGAGCTAAAATGAGAATAACACAAGACGAAATATTCAATTAAGGATTCAAATGGTGAAGACTTGCTTTTGTCTGGGGTCTTCTTACAGTGGAGTAATGCACATTAAAACTTTTTTTCAAAGTGGCTGTATATGGGGGATCAACTACACAGGTTAAATTTTTATAAAATTGTGCTGGAAGCCACATTTAACATAAATGCTGTCCAGGTGTATGGTTTTAAAATCACACAAGCACACACACACATACACATACACGCACACACTAAAGTCATATATTTCTGTTACCTTTTCAACAGACTTTAAGAGGGCTGACATTGACTCTCCTATCCCAAGCAAACATTTGGAAAAAGCGTAGGGACGCTGGTTATGAACTCGAGAATCAAGGATGTCTTTTTCTCACCTGACAGGAAAATACAGTGTGTGTGTGTGTGTGTGTGTGTGTGTGTGTGTGTGTGTGTGCACGTGCGTGCGTTTGCATGCATATGAATTATAAACGCTGGCGAGGAGACAAGTTCATGTCTGCCTCCACATTCCTACCTTCATTCCTGGCTCATTGTCCATGAGAGGTCTGCAGTAGACCGGTACAGGCACCGGGGCGGCACTGCGACCTCCCTCCTTGGGGACAGAGGGTTGGAATTTGGCAGGTAAGCTCCACCCATATGCCTGCATACGCCCGTCATCTTTCTTCACATGGGCACGCACTTGTTTGTACTGCTCCTTACGCTCTCTTTCACGTTCTAATCTGGACTTTTCTTTGCTTTCCCTGCATTATGAAGATTTTGAATTTTTTTGTTATGCCATGAATATGTTAACATTAAACACAGTTAAATAAATTACAATATCTTACTTTTAATGAATTAAAAAAATCACAACTTAAGTAATTGCGATATACCAAAAACCTTCAAAAACAGCCATATAATAGCCTCTTCATAAGGTGAAGCTTTATCCCAGCAGGCAAACGACATTGATTCTACGTTGATTCAACATTGATCCACCAAAATTAACGTTGATTCAACGGTAAATCGATGTTGTTTGTCTGCTGGGATAACAGTACAAATTTACCAGCACTGATAGCATTTACTTTCCATACATGCGGTGGCTGACATTTCTAGGGAGTCAAATTAAATCACTGAAAATAATCACTTTACTATAAAAATCCCCACAGATTTCAACAAATTTCCTTTTTAATAACCAGAGAACTTACTGGTCTTCCATGAAGTCATAGGCTTGTTCTTTATCACCAAGGTTATAAGTACTTCTGCGTTTCTTGTTTGGATCTCCCACTGGCTGTACATGGGTGGTGGGGGCATTATAACGCACAGTGGCCATGGGTAGTTTTTCCTTTTTGGGTTTGTTTGAGGAACTGCTAAACAGGTTGCCGAAACTGTTCAATGAAAAATTGAAATAAACAGTTCATAGAGAATAAACTTATCAAACATTCAGTTTGTTTTTCAAATTGAAATTTTTAACTCTCATTCAAATTTTTTTCATAATTTTGGTTCTAAGAGTATGCATTGCATGTTTGTCTCGTATCTAGAGAATTTTCTAAAAGCTAAGTGACAACATTTATGTTAATACAACACAATAGCTGTCTATTACAAAGACAGATGTGTTGCTCAAGTATCTTTCTGCACAAAACCTAAATTTTATTAGTATAAAGGATTTTCCTCTCTTGAAAGCATCTTATAATTTTTTTCCATCAACATATATTTGGGTGCTAAATGTGCTTTCATTCTGCAATTTTATCATCTTGGCAATTTGTAGCACAAAACAAAATGTTAAACATTTGTTTACCTGGGAAATTGTTTTTTTAATTAAAATGAAAATGATATTCCCATTTTTCAAAAGCTACCATGGAACTTGAGTTTGTGCTAAATATCCTCCAAAATTGTTTTATCAAAATTGATAATTGTTCATTATAATGAACATCCAGTTGTAGGTCAATGTAAAAGATGTTAATTTGGAGATAGATAAGAATTTGTCTCAAGATTTAGTTTGATCCCTGCACCGTTTTCTTTTGGCAGTTTACTATTTGTTCACAATTTTATTGCTTTGTTCATCCTCTAAAAATAAACACATTCAACCTCTCTGAATGGAAATTCGCAATGAAATTCAGGACTTTTATTTTCAGTATCATGATAAATGCAATCATATTATCATGGTACTTTACACAGCATCCATGAGTATCTTTAAGATATTTATGACCATCATAATGAATATGTATCAGACAAAATATGCAGTCATAATATTTACTTGAATTGTATCAGATTCCATTATGTATGTTATAACAAAGAAATAACAGTTTGTTTCATTTTAGAATATGATCCATAGTGTATGGTCAAGAACATGGGGAAGATAAACAACAAACAAAATCCATTTTCTTTTCATAATAAATAAACGTGCAATTTATTGCTTTGCACAACTTTCCCAACCTGTACAAAAATGTGAACAGTGTTGAATAGTCAAAATAGACTAATTAGTTAAAGTTAACAGTCAACAGTGAATTATCTCTAATCTAATACAGAACGATGGCAAATTAAATTTTTTTACATTGAAAAGGTGCCATAGAAAAAAACAGTAAAGGGTAAGCAATATGTTTTATGATCAGATAAGTCTTGGGAATTTCTTGATCAGATGACAAAAAAAAAAAAAAAAAAAAAATATTTCTTTTACAGATCATGAGGGATTTGCCAGATGTATTCGACTTTCAAATTTATGGTGATTGAACGTTGTTCAATAGTAAGAAGGGATTTCATAGAGAAAGTTTTGAGACACTCAAAATTTCATAAAACATATTTTTTACCTAAAAAGTATAACAACTATTTTCCAGAAAAGTGAATAAATTTTAAATCTTAAATATGACTGATACAACAAAGTTACTTTTCAAATTCAATTTAAATTTGAAACCGCATTAAAATACACAGTCAAACTGTACAAAATAAAATTGCACTTGGTAAAATTTCATAAGTTCAATGCATACTATTCTCAACTTTGAAAGAAATCCCCAGGGATCAGAAGACCATACATCATGGATCAAATGCATTAAAATGAATCTGAATGTTAGTGCTTTAAAAATACTTTGCCTCAACCAGTCATCTAAAACAGGAATGAAAAAATTCAGTTTAGTAGCAAAGCAGTGTTTGGTTTGCAGTCCTGGAGTGAAAATATGTTAGGAATAAAAATAATATTATAAAACATTCAAATCTTTTTTTTTTTTTTTCGTTTTTGCTGTGTCAGAGCATTTACGCAAAGTAACAACATACAGACGTTTGAATTTAATATAACTCAAACTTTGCAGAGCAAATAAAAGGGTAAAAATAAAAGACAAATTAAAAGCTGGCAAAACAATAAGCACCATGCTGTTTAACTGCTGATAAATTAATTTAGACTCATTGTTCAGCTTTTCATTTGATTACCCACGTGGCCTTATGATCCCCAGGTACTAAATATTATGACAATTAATCAGTCCAAAATTTCTGTCCTTGAAATTTTAATAGATCACAATAAGCTGCCTATGCATTATCAGGTACTTAAATTAGACAAAAATAAATTTCAAATCAATAACAAACACAATATGCACATCTTAGCTCAGGTAAAAGCAAACTTATACAGAGAAATTTTATCCTAGATGTAAGATAAATTCCTTGCGCGGCTCGTCCTAAAATTTTCATTAAATTCATAGCTAAAGCCAAAAAGTTGTATTTCAATCTCATTAAATTCATTAGGTCGATTTTAAGAGTAGTTAATAAGGAAAACCATCCTGATTCACAAATATTACCTGTTCCACTTGTTATCAATACTGCAAAATAATGATTAAAATTTTCACAATTGTACACTTCTTCCCTGAGATATGCATGGCAGTGACAGAAAACGACAAAATGGTGCTTAATTTAAAACATTAGCCAAATAGTTGAATTTCCAATCTATTAAAAATTAACTTTTATAAGACAAACAGGGAAATTATATCCAAAGAAAACATGTTTCCATAAAGCACCTAACGTAAAAAATAAGTCAACATTTAAAATGACACTGATAAGCCATCTGAAATCAGCACCATCTTTTTCCAGTCATGTAAATATTTCTACATGAAGTGAATTTGGTAACAGCTATCAACCCTTCACCGAACCAGTTATGTATAAAGTAAGGGATTGTTATCTATAAAGAGTCCCTTTATAGTTAAAATGCTAATGGGTTTTTGAGTATCAAAATCGACTCCCTTCTATGTACAAACCCTAATGAGATCACAACCTAAGGATTGGCTCATCACACTTAAAATATTGAAAATTCTAGGTGCTAGTTTCAGGTGCCTTTTTTTTTTAAAGGTACAAAAATATATGAAATGCTGCATCGTAAAATGAGAAGGTAAGCTGCCGTCTTGGAATGTTAAATGACTGAAGATTTCTTCTCAGTTGGTTCATATGCAGTAGCAGGTTCAGGGTCACCATAAACGAGGTGATTAAAACTGCAAAGGAAATGACACAGAAAAGTCAAATGGCAGGGGATAAAACATACTGAAGACCAGACGCACATGCTTGGGAAAAACCAAATATGACAATTAATGGGGGAAAACACCTAGCATAACACAAAAATTTTGAAAAAAAAAAAAATAAAATAAAAATCAGCACATTAATGATTCCATTGCTGTTGTTTATATTCATAATTTGGTACAACCTTTTTCACCATCCTAAGCTTGCCCTTGATTTTTTATTTCGTATCGAAACATTTCATATTCAGTCAGTGACATGTTTAAATTTTTAAAATATATTCAAAAGAAGCTCAAACTTGGATCATTAAACTCCTATAGTTCAAAAAAGCTCCAAAAGTTTTAAAGAAGTCTAAGAGTTTATTTATTTTATTCATTTTTATTCATTTTTTATACACGTCCGTATGAAGTTCAGCCATTTTGAAACAACTTGGTCTTTATTTATACATGCATAGTGTAATACTGGTAAAATATCCAATTGAAATAATTTATCTGCATTGTGTTAATATCTACCAAAATCTGAAGAAATTTTTCATTCATCTTGATATGAAATTTTATTTTCAATAAGAACATTCTGGTAATATAAATCAGTATGATAGATGCTTTGCTTCTCCATCACATACTTTTTTGCCTATCATAAGTATTCATTACTTTACATCAATATAAGTGGGGATTTCTTCATCTTTTCATATCCAATATTATGAAACAAGTATTTGGACCAAAATAAGAAACTAAACTAATAAACTGTGATAAAAAAGCACTACTTACAATCCCCAGACAGAGGACTTCTTCTTCTGTGTCTGTATCACTTCGGGGTGTTCTCTCGAGGCGCGGATCATCTCTGTCCAACGCACAGCCTCCTGCAGTTCCATCAGGCGCTCCTTGTACTGGTTTCTTTCCATTAGCACCCGTGCCATCTCCACTCGGGTGAAACGTTTGCGCTGGGACATGGGAACATCCTCCTGTGATTAAAATACACAAACATTATGGTGAATTTTAGCACTTCTTGTTCCTGGTTTAGGCACTTGGAATAAAAAGACAAGCATTTGTGATAGTTTTCATGCAACATAAACACACCGTTTGTACATGACTTGAAATAATGGTTTTATTATTTAACTAAATATGCTATCTAAGTTGTGTAAAATGAACATTTACATAACAAGTATATTTATATTTTGTTGCCAACAGTGTTCTTCTCGACATTGCTATTGAATTCTTAAAACAACTGCTCTTTCACAGTTATAAAAAAATAACATGTTACTAAATTTACATCAGGTATCACATTAGGTGTAAAGAATGTAATCCCCAGTCTCTTCTGACTCAGTAATCAGACAGAAACCAAACAGAAGTCCATACAGTGTGACACAAATATAAATCTACAGACCTCGTCATCTGCTTGAGCTGCAGAAGACTTCTTCTCCAGTTCTTCCTTGGTCTTCTTCAGTTCTTCTTCCAACTCTGATATCCTCTGTGACAACCTGACCTTTATAGTCTGAAGACTCTGTATCTCCTGTCTCAGCATTTCCTGCTCACTTTAAGTAGAAAAAAAAAAACATTTAGCAACTAAATCAACAGAGATTAAATAGAAATCTGCTCTTTAGCACAACTTAAAAGTAAGAATGCAAACAGTAAGAAATTTTATATGAGAATGAGAAAAATATCGCAGACTTGTCCTTTATAGTCGTTATTTTATTCTTTAATTTTTTTACTGGCAGGCACTATAGTTTAGGCTAGGTGGCCAGAAAAATGTAAGAAAATAAGGCAACTAAAACTAGTGCATTTTGGAATTTTCAACAGTGGAATACTGATGGCAGACTTGATGGGACATCAGGCTGTCCAATGTGACATAAAACCAGCAAAAACATTGTAGAATCCTATAAAAAGCTTAATTCAATCAATTTCAAAAAGAAATTAAAGGAGGAAGAATGTGTCTTATTCTGCCAATCATTTTGCAAGTAAGTGACTTGTGTGAAGTAACTGACAGAATTACCTAGTAAGTTCATCCACTTGAGCAATGAGATCATCTTTCACTATATTCAATGCATTCCTAAAATGAAGAAGCAAACAATTAATACATATATACATCCACCTAAAACCAACAGTATTTGACACTTACTTGTCAAACTAAATCTTATAAGGTTTAAAAGTCTTACTTATGTGCTTCTTAATTTTTTTTGTAAAAGTGTTGATCTTTTTCCTTCAACTTCCTTTCTTACTTAGTTATTCTTTTTTGACAAAAGATCAGACAAAAACTTTGACAGTAAACAATATCACTTACTTGGTAGCTAGGAGCTCGTTGTTTTCTGATATCAGGTTCTCCACTTCTTTTCCCATTCCTGAAAAACATTCACTGGCAAAATGAATCTCAAAATTTAGATGTCATATACCGCAGCTGCCAATGCACAATATAAATAAGATATGAAGGGAACAAATTTTACATGTACTTTTTTTATGTCATTTAACATTAAATTTATATATCAGCAACAACAATTGTTGAAAATACATTTACTTTTTAGGTATCTTTTTGAAAGCAGCTCATGTTACTTAAGACAAAGCACATATTTGTTTACTGTTAGGCATTAAATGTTACCTAAATATTGATATAAAACACTTCAACAAGACCTCTTCATTCAAGAAGACAGCAGATTTAGGCAGAATTCTACTTTTAAAAGTTGACTTTTTCTTCACAAAATCCCTATTATTAAGTATTACTACCCTTCCCACACTACCCTACCAACAAATTCCTCTTCCAAAAATATATAACAGTTACAAAACTATTTCAATATATTCAATTTACGTGAAATCATAGAAAGTTAGGATTATTTCCCATGATCTACAGTTAACTTCAACTGTTGAGTCTATTCTCTTAACTTTATATACCACATCATACCACAACAGACTGTCAATTTAGAGTTTAACTTAGTACATTGTAAATCATCTCTCTCACTCCACCTTCACTTTGATTTTGAAAACAGGGTGCCTCAAAAGTTTATTTTCACATCATTTGTCTTCAATGCCAATTTCTTGACTCACTTAACTTTTTATCACAGATGGAATAAAAAGTTACCATCATTTGTTTGCTTCAAACCTTTGAAACACCCTGTACAACCAGAATCATTAATTTCACCACAAAGTTAAATATGTTTAATCCTGTCATTATCTTAATATAACAATCCATTGTTGATGATTAGCAAAAATTAGTGAATAATCAAATCTATATATAACCACAAGTCATCAGAGAACACATAACCCTTTCTATGTATAAATGACATTACCATCAATCGGGTACGATTCTGCAAAGAAGCAATGCATCATAAAATTCAATACAAATCTGGAAAACAGCGTGACCCATACCTTTACACATTCATATCTAGGATCTGTACAATCAACACTTCACCCTTTTTTTTGCCTCAGTAAAAATTTAGAATAGAATAGATTTAGAATTGTGTTCAAGAGGAATTTTGCAAACAAAAATCACTGCCTTGATAGGAGCAGCAAAACATTTCTTCACTCTAGGCCAATTTCACATGGTTTTCATTACAGTCTAATTTGCTAAATTTACCAGGGGCCTATTACACAAAATGACTTTATCAAAAACCAATCTTTGCAAAGACTACTAAAATTTGAATCAACCAAGTCCCATTTCACGAAGAATTTGAAAAGCCTCTTAAATGATCTTTGTTCTTTCTTTATCTTTTGACTTTAACCTCATGGGTCATTTGGACATGTCAACTATATTCTATGTGGGACAATTATTTATAAAATGCTCTGAGAGCAATATCTTTAAGTTGAATTTGCATTGTTGACTATTTGATTTTAGTAGTCCAAGCCTAGCGCTTCAGAATTTCTGTGAAAAAGGCCACTGGTCTTTAGAGGATATGGAAAATGTATAAAGGGATATGAGTTCCTAGATATGGTGCAAATTCAAGGAAGGGATCACTTGAAATATTGCAATAACATTCCTGCAACTTCACAATCGGGTAACACTGATTGTTATAAGCAACAGCTTACCAAAGAACGTGTCACTGACTGTTCCATCCAATTATGAAATGCATGGTTGGTAGAAAATGTGAAAAATATGCTGTTATTTCAATGTCACATGCATCTTTTAATTCACACACTGTAAGACAATTTGTTACTTAATAAATGTTAGAGATTTTCATAGCCTATGGAAGTTCTGTACATCTACAACAAGTGACTTCATACTTGAGACAGTGTAATACTAAAGACAAGTGAAACTTCTACTGTACATGCTACAAGATTTAAGTGACAGAAGTCGTCATATCAATGTGGACAAATGCAAACTTTTCTTCCAGATGGCATGATTTGATGATCCTTTCTTACAATTCTATTTCTAAAACTTTCCTTTCCCCAAAGGTTTAAATTTAAAAGCTTTTTGGCATTTCAATAAGAAATGCTCCAGAATAGCTAAATAAAATTTCATCAAATCATGCCTCCTGAGAATTTCGGTGAAAAGTTGTATAAATATAATATCTAAATAGTAAAATCCTACCGTGAGATTCATCATCATTCTCACTATCTGTATGTTGACACAGGAGGCAGAGATGCAGTATGCGCATGCAACATAGAGCATAACACAAAACACAAACATAGAAAAGAAAAAAAATTAAACAAAATAAAATCATGCACAAATTCGTATGGAACAAAATTCAAAATCTAACAGTTTCAAATTAGAAGTTTATACTTACAGGCATGGAAAAAAATCTATAACAATACCTCTAATTCTATTCATACTTATTTGAAGTTGAAAGAAATATATTCTGGCAGACAAAATAAACTGATTTTAGAAATATTATGCTATCATTAGTGGTTTGTTCTTTTTTCTTTTTTAAATGTCCTATAATTTTTCATACAATTAGTAATTTTAGTCTCAATTTGATTTATGTGCTTGGTGCTTGTCAAATAACAGCCTATTTATAAGTTTCTTAAAACCAAAACCAAACTCAATCTTTTGGCCTGCATTCGCATTTAAAGTATTAGAATATTAAATGTATAATTGTGATGTTAAAAATGTATTCTAGTGAAATTAAGTCCCAAACTCCCAGGGTATCCTTCCCTACTTCTCAGGTCCATAACCACTACCAAGTGTCAATAGTTTAACCAATTTCCCCTTTTAAGTCTTTTTTTTTTATTAACACCTATCAATTAGATGAAAATTTCAAAGTTAAGTTTTCAGGTAAAATATTTCACTTATTACCATACCCATGCAAAACTTGTTTGTATCCGTTTTTATTTCTTTTTTATTAGAAAAAAAAAAGATATTGAACCCCTCCTTCAAGTTTTACCTACTAAAACCCAGGGTTAGTGCATAGTTAGTGCAGAACTTTAGTAATGAAAGTGCAGAAAAGGACAAACAAAATGTGATATTATTTTTATTTTTACCACAATCATACCAACATGCTAAGACAGCAAAGGGTTAGGTTATCAAAGTTCCATACGATAAAGATGTGCAATTAAACACCTTCAGCCTGGGGGGTAGCAACAATGCACAGTTATAAATTGATTATAGTGAATTACATGCATGTGAAAAACATTCATTTTCATGTAGTGTAACTATTGGTGGCATGTCTGATGTGTAAATGTCATGATGCTAATACCAAAGTTATTTATACATTACTAAAATTCAACTGACTGTATTTATCTTGCCCCAATGTTTTGAAATCGTGTTTATTTAAGTTGTGTCCAAACAGCAGATGCATTTGTGTTGTAAGTTGTTATTAGAATAGGCGATGTGAGAAATGTGCTTTTCATAGTGTATTTCATGTCACACTGTCAATGCATGTGAACAACCTGTCAGAGAGTTAGTACTAAAAGTCTACTCAATGTTATTGCAGTACAGCTAAAACATAATACTACACATCACCAAAACCCAAACCAAACATAGTAAGAAATGTGAACAAAACCATGATATTTAACTGACCAGAAGAAGCGTATTCCCCAGGATGAACTGGCTTGCCTGGAATGAGATAAAAATGTTTCTATGAAGAAATCCACTTTAAAATACCATGCAGAATAAGGGATATACCAAATGTAAAAATCTTTTATGAAGGAAGGAAAAATACTGTAAATAACTGAATGAAAATCTATACAACAAAATTCAACTCGATCCTCTACATTGTAAATGCTTTTAGTTCACAAGAAATATTTTTCTACAATATGGTTTTCATAACATTTATTAAATTTACTGAAAAAGATTTCTACAAGTAAATCATCTTCATGACAAATATTACTGTATTTAAGCCTTCATATATGTCTCTGATACCTGTGATATCAATCCCATCATCCATCTCTGCAATATCTTCATATAGTTCATCATACAAAGAAGACTCATTTCCACTGAAAGAAGTCACAAAGCAATACATATCTTATCAATACTTTCTTTGATTAGAATTTTTAAAAACAGAAAGAAAGAGAACAAGAAAAGGACCTGATACATACAATTTGATATCTGATTTTTAAGAAAAATAGGATAACAACCAAGTACTAATAATAGTAAAATTTTTAAATTGTGATGCTGGACACTTAACTTACCCTCTTGGCTTGTTTGATTTCGAAAGAGACATCCCATCAAAATCTTCAAGTTCCGGTGTGGACTGAATAATTTCTGCCATTGTCTGACCAACACCTGAAATTACACAAACATTGTAAATACCACAACATCTTTTGTATATCAAAACTAAGCACAAAAACTGAAAAATATAAGAAAGTTTATATATATTGTAAATATAATTTACTCTACTGTATATCAAAACTAAGTACAAATACAGTGAAGAATATTAGTCAGTTTAAATATCATGTAAACACCATAAACTCTATTGTATCTCAAAACTAGACACAAACACAGTGATGAATATTAGAAAGTATTTAAAAATATAATGTAAATATCATGAACTCTACTGTAAATGAAAACTAAGCACAAACACAGTAAAAAATAATAATATATTTGAACAAATTTTAAACAGGAATATGAGTATGAACAGTGACCAACAAGTTAAATGCAGTTTAAAGCCCCTCAGAGCATAAACTTAACTGTCTGTTGTAGTCACAGACCAAAACTTACGTTTCCTAGGCACTTCATAACTTTCTTCTATACTGTTCAAAAATTCCTGTTTAACTGGCACAAGGGGAACACGAGCTACGGGGGTACTACTAGTTAATAAACTAGACACAGGAGAGGCATGCACTTTGCCCGTTTTATCAGGGCTTTCAGTCCCTGTCTGATTTGTGTTAACAGTTCCAGTGGATATTTGTTTCTCTCCAGTCTGTTCCATTTTGGTGTTTGAATCATTTTCTTTGGCAGCTGTTGGGAGTAACAACAATGACAAATGCAATAACATAAACTATACATGCACAAAACGTATAAGATATAAAAACAAATGAGAGTAAGCCACTTTAAATTATAACAACAGATCATTTCATCATGTGCAATAGTTATGCTATCTATGGATTATTAATTTTTGAATTTTGTTAATAAAACCATTTCCGATAACTTCATAACCAGTACACATCCCTCTAAGAGTCCATGGGTCAGTAACATATTACAATTAACATAAAAAGAACCAAAATAAAAGACAACATCCTTATCTTTAAAGATTTTTATCTACATTCCAAAATACTTTGAATAAGGTGGTTATGCCTTCAGTTCAGTAAAATTTACATGCAAAAATAAAAACATTAATTTTGTTTAGAAATTAAATTATGTTAAACAGGTCAAATTCACATGAAAAGCTGCTATGAAAACTCAGACAAACAATTTTTGACAACTAACATCAACATATAAAGCAAATTAGCATAATGTTGCAATTGGCAACAGGACTAATTTGCAACTAAATAAATCAGCTAACTAGAATTCACGTGTAAACATGAGAAAACAGCCATCATATGCCTTCTCTAACCTGGCGTAGTTGCGTGCTCTGCAGTCTCCAAACTATCCGTGACTTGGGTCTTGTCAGCGGTTTTCTTCTTGTCTCCAGAGGCTGCTCGCTCACGTTCCAACTGCTTCATTTCGTTACTGAGACTGGTGTTGTGACTCTGGGGTCGGCTTGATGATGAGTCCGAGCCAGAGTAATCAGGAGTAAGTTCACCTTTAGATGGTGTTTCTGCATTGGAATAGATGTTTACTCCTCCTGGTACTGTTTTGAGATGAGGCAAGTGAAGACCGCTCCTAATGTAGGAATAAAAATATACTTTTGATTGTAAAGTACGCAAAAATCCAACAGAGCAAAACGACTAGCAAATCATCTTGAAACTTGAAACAAGTCATGTTGAAACTTCCTGAAAAAAAAACCTTTTAAATATGATATAGACAATGAATAGGTAATAAAAAGATGAAGAATTTAATCATTCAAGGCAAAGCAATTCTTTAAGAATCAAGAACCAGTAAAACACAGACTTTAAACAAATACGCAATTCTTGGACATTTACCTTCCCTTTGGACTGACCAGAGGTTCAGTGGACACTCTTTCCTGACTAGCCATCAAAATCTTAGTTCTTTCCATATAGTCCATGTGGGTTCTAAACAACTAGAAATAAAACCACAACACATTTCTTAACATTAAACTGTCACATGTAATTAATCTGATTCAAAGATGACACCAGAAGCCATCTTTAAGTACTATTAAAATTTTACTGAAGAAAATTCTAAAATCATATTACTGACTGTGTCCAAGTATTGTGTAAACACATAAGCATGAGATAATTTATAAACTTGAATTATAATTAATTTCTAAAGTATATATTACCTCTGTATATCTCTCATGCAATTTATTATACTCCTTCTTTGATTCAGCTTCTTTTTCTTCTAATCTCGATACTGTGTGTGAAAAGGAAAAAATGCATAACATAAAACTTGTTATTATGGAGCAACTTAAGACAATACTGTTTTTAAGGTCTCCATGCCCCCCCTTAATGTTTAAAAACATCAAAAGTAAAAGAATGAACACCTCAGGCATGTGGCCATCTTTAATGAAATAGTAATATAATACATATCAAAACATTTACAGCTGAAACATGATGAACCATCTAATAGACTATTTTTTACGACTCACTCTCTCTCGCACACACAAACACGCACACACAAACACACAGCTATTACTTACAGTGATCCTGGTTATTTTTGGCTTTAAGTTCAAACATTTTTACAATGGACTCCAAGCTTTCCACCTTGTCCTGGAGGGCCTTCCTTTCTGTCTCATTAACATCTTCAATTTCTAAGTATTTCTGAAAGGATAACACTTGAAATTAGTAGTGAAATGAAGAGTGGGGCATAAAGTAAATATTCTATTTCATATCAACAGATAATTGTAAGATATACATAAGTTTCAGTTGCCGATTCAAATAACAGTAAAAGAAATCCTCATCTTAAATTTCACAACAGCATATCTGTATTTATTTTCATGTACTGTGTCACCTTTCACATTTGTTCCAAACTAAAATTTTGTTTGGAATCCGGTTATTTTTTCTTCCTTGGAGCCTCCTACATGAGAAATACTGATAGCACAATTGCCATTTGAGGTCAAGTTTACATAAGTGAAAACTAAACCATGTTTTTGACACATCATTATTACATGCACTTTTTTCAGGTTAAAAACAATTTTAACTAGAGGATCAGAGAGGCGATACCGCCTCCAGATATTGTACCACCAGCTGGAGTAAGC